ATTCCAGAACCCCCTCCAAGTGTTATTAGCTTGCACACAGCTAACGGAGTGTTTAAACGCGACAGGACAGCTGCATCATCCTAGTGTCTCTAGGACGCACCACTCGACCGAGGATGCCATGCTCCCCGCAGTCGAACGTCTGGCCACCAACAACGACGGCGGTCTCGTATCGTCGGTAACGACGATCGATTTGTCAAAGTTGTTCGATAGCGTCGACCACGTCCACCTCACCAAGCTGTTTTGTTATGGCGTTACCGATGCGGGATGGTTTAAGAGCTGTTTGAGTGGTCGAGGGCAGGTTGTGCGTGGAGGACGGCCCACTCACCCCATGCCATGCAGTGGACTTGAGAGCTCGATCACCGGTCCAATTTGTTGAATTTTGTTTACCAACGATCTGCACAGAAACTTGACTCATGGCCGCCTCATCTCCTACGCTAACGAAACCATGCACGTGGACTGCGCGCGCCCTAGACGGAACGGGTCTCGCCGACCTCAAAACCAGACGAGAACTTGCCATGCGTGAGATTCAGAACTGGTTCAGTACCGATCCTCTCCAAATGAACGAAACAAAAATTGCCTCTATACTCGTGGGATCCAAGCAAAACGCTAAAAAGTCAGCTGACTTCCACTTGAAGTTAGCAGTTCGACTGAGCCTGCTTCAAACAGTATCCAAATTATCTGCGGCATAGTTGACTCCGGTCTGTCGCGGCGTGCCCATGTCTCGAACGTCGTGAAAAATACAGCGGCATCCTCGTTTCTCTGTACCAATTATGTCATTCCTTTACTTCAGATCGTCTCAGTGTGCAACGGGGAGACAGTCAACAATGCAAAGTTCAAAAAAGCAATCAAGTTTGCTCCAAGAGTAATTGCCGGTTCCAAAAAGCGCCATCATAAAACTCTGGCTCTAAGTTCCCTGGGATGGCTGAAGATCGAGGTCACGGTGGCACACCGCGACGTGATTTAAGTGCTTGGGGCGCTGAAGGAGGACGGTGCGCGTCACAATGTCCGCGCGCTTTTTGTCTCAAGCGCCGCTGTTTCAACCCGAGAAACATACGCGCTGTTATGTTATCCACTGACCACCGATCTGGTCCAGCCCGCAGTGCACTGATGGGCCTGTTTTAGCTCTTCGACCACTGTTGGTATCATTTTGGTCTATACCTTTTGTGTATGCCTTTTTATACTGCGCCTGTATGACCTGAAACCGTAATAGCCACTATGTGGAGGGTTTCCAATCTACTGATACTGCTACTGGTACTGATACCACCCCAAACACACGCCCGGTTGAGGGTTAAGCCCCAAACTGCGTCGGAAATCTGAACGGATTGATGACGAAAAATCTGAGGCATTCTTCTCCGATGATTCAGTAAACTTCAGACACTCTTGGCAAGCAGATGGCAAACTTTCCGAAATTATTTGTTTCACCCTGAGCGACGGCTGCGCGATGAAACAGCACCAGCAGCCACACTTGATAATTTCATTTGTTGCCGAGCCTCTGCCTGTAGCACGAGGCAAAATCAAGCTTTTGAAGCCTCGGCATAGCAAATAGCACTGAGTAATTCAACGGAGAACACCGTTGATTAAATTCTGCGAGTTGAAGGGCTGCGCTATATCCTTAGTTGATTCGGCTAGGAAATTCCTTTCAAAATGTGACTTGTTTCACGGGGCATGTATCAAACTTGAAAACCACTACAACTCAATACACACTCTGCACTCGATACGTTTACGCAACTGCCAAGACGTTTACAACAACCAGATAATTAGTTATGATGCAACCGTTGTATACCTCTGCATCAATGTGTAGCCATGCATACATGTATGCATGAATAACACTGCAAAACGTTATGCATTATGTATGCGGGTAGCCGAACTCGTTGATCACGATCGATGTCTCTGTAGCTGTTCGCGGAGAACCGGAACCGATAACTCCTCAATGGATTCTCCTACGATCTATCTTCGGCTCAGCGGGGACCCGTTTTGATCAAATTTTTACAGGTTTGGCTCAATAACGCACATGCAGTCGTGTGAATTTCATTTTAATTAGTCACTTCAGGGCCCAGCCAGAATAAAGGTACCGCAGGCACTGGTGAGGGAAAAATCACGAAAGGTTTTAAGCATCACTATTCGGCCAACGTGGGCGGCCAGTAGATGAGAACATGAGAACATCTCTGACCCCACGTACTTGAGAAGTGTCTGCACAAGAGCTTCGCTATTTTGACTTTCTACACAGTCATCTCCTCTGCTGAGGTGAATGCATACGGTCCATCTTGACATAAAAAAATGCGTGCAACGGTAGGTAGCTCTTCCGTTCCGCCAGAGTCGCTGTGACAACCCAACATCACATGTGTCGATCCTCCTGGGTAAATACGACGACCGTGGATATAATGTATCTCGTCTGCAACAGATCTGCGAGACCAGCCTGATGGCAGCGCAGGGCGAGGCAGCGCCGAGTAGCCGGTCGTGAAGATCGGCTTCAGGTCAGGGTCCACGGTCCGCCGGGCCCGAGGTCAGCACGGGGTAACAGGGTCCGACTCGTCCGCCATGTCGTTCGCAGGCGGTGTCTCAAGGGGAGCACCGTTGTCCCATTGAACCCGTGACACCACTAAGCGACACCACTAAGTGGTGTCATGTGGGTCGATCCGCAGCTACGCCAGGCGTCGTCTGAGTGTGTCGGATCAGAGGTTCGGCGTCGGCGCCGGCGCCGGGGGCGGGGTAGGCTCTGGACCACCCCGCGGCCCAGCCCGCCCCGCCAAGCAGGAAGAGACGCCCCATGGGGGGCGCCGCGTCGCCGGCTCGGAACCGGCGCCCCGACCCCGGAACGGACCGCCGACCGGGTCGCCGGGGCCGGAGACATCGACCGCGGCTGGACGAGACGGCGGCCACGTCAGGCGCCCCGCCCCGCGACTGTGTCAGATTGGAGGGCACATCAGTCACCATCTATCACTTAGCATATCAGCCTGATTGGAGGACTACCCGAAGCGGTGCGCGTTTTTGACATGAAGGTCCGGAGCAGCAGACCCCTTCAAGACCAGCACGCCTTGCAGCCCCCACGATCTTCGCATTGGGCTGCATACAACAATTGGCTCACCTAATTGTTACAGACGGAGCGCAAACTCCCGGGCGGGTCCAGCAACCCGACAGCCCGAAAACCCTTAAACGGATTACAGAGCGTGGCACAGCCCAGTAAACAGTAAGTATCTCCCTCCGGACTTCTCGAGCATTTGGCTTCCAGTAGAGGCAGAAGAACGTGCTTATCTACGAGGGCACGCACAAAACACAAACGCCACTCACGATGTGGTGTGTTCTGCGCGTTTGGAAGGAAAAAATAGCCTCACTGTCAATTATCAATATTGATAGCACAATACGACACGTGCCTTTGGGCCTGATTATACATATCGTGCGTGACCAGTAACAGTTCGTATTGGAAAAGGTCACAGTAAAGTAGATTTCCGAACCATTTTCATTTTAAGTGGAGCGCCATGTTTAGTGTTTTGCTCGTTACTTGCATAGTGCGGATTTACCGTTTCCCAATACTTTTCACCCTCATCACCTTTTTACAGCAGCAGAGCGCCTTCGTGGTGAAACTTAAGATGGAAAAAGTCTTGACTGCGAGCAGTGGGGGTGGTATTACGGTGATGTTATTGGAGAGCAATGCATGCATCGCCTAAATGTGGAATAAAGTGCGATGTGCATCGGAATACGCGGCTTTGCATTCTCATCAAATACCCCAGAGGAGATCGCTCCCGTCCCGGCTATCCTCCATAGTATACCTTTTGAACTACAAATGAGAGGTTGCAATGCTCGAAATTGGGAGATTGTTTCTACTAAAATTTAAAATAGCACTTCCAAACTGGCCCAAACGGCAGCAGCCCAGCATCTGCGACTATTTTCATGCTTAAATAACGTGGAATGGCAAGCGCATGGCGACTGCTCTAAGTCTTATGAGCATTGCCTTGACATCAATGCGTGTCCCCTTGTCATGTACAATTGCTCTTGCCGAGGCCATATATATGTCAATTTCTAGTTACCCAAACAGCGGATTTCACTGCTATTATATTGTTGTCAGTGATCCTTTCCTTTTCAACATAAGGTTTCTCCATGTTCCCTGGTGCTGGCTTACCGCCGGCCGTGGGGCCTGTATTACTGGCGCTGGACTTACCACCGACCATGGGCCCTGGTACCACTGGCGATGGACTTACCTGAGATCATGGGATCTGGCACCACTGGCGTTGGCCTTACCACCGACCATGGGCCCTGGTACCACTGGCGATGCACTTACCTGAGATCATGGGATCTGGCACCACTGGCGTTGGACTTACCACCGACCATGGGCCCTGGTACCACTGTCGCTGGACTTACCACCGACCATGGGCCCTGGCACCACTGGCGCTGGACTTACCACCGACCATGGGCCCTGGTACCACTGGAGATGGATTTCCCTGAGATCATGGGATCTGGCACCACTGGCGTTGGACTTACCACCGACCACCGGGCCCTGGTACCACTGGCGATTGAACTTACCTGAGATCATGGGATCTGGCACCACTGGTGCAGGAACTTACCACCGACCATGGGCCCTGAAAGCACTGGTGCCGGACTTACCACCGGCCATGGGCCCTGGTACCACTGGAGATGGACTTCCCTGAGATCATGGGATCTGGCACCACTGGCGCTGGACTTACCACCGACCATGGGCCCTGGTATCTCTAGTGCAGGACTTACCACCGACCATGGGCCCTGAAAGCACTGGAGCAGGACTAACCACCGACCATGGGCCCTGATACCACTGGCGCTGGGCTTACCTGAGATCATGGGATCTGGTATCACTGGGCGCTTGACTTACCACCGACCATGGGCCCTGGTACCACTGGTGCAGGACTTACCACCGACCATGGGCCCTGATACCACTGGCGCTGGGCTTACCTGAGATCATGGGATCTGGTACCACTGGTGCTTGACTTACTACCGACCATGGGCCTCGGTAACACTGGCGCTGGACTTACCACCGACCATGGGCCCTGGTACCATTTGGGGCAGGCCACGAAAGTTGCACGGTTCCCGGCTTGTGGGCGGGTCTTGGCTGCAGCGCGATTTGGGCACCTGGCAACAAAGCCCCGGGAAAAGTGTTAGCAAGGCCCGATACCATTGCGCGCACAAGCTAACAGTTACGTAGGCAAGAGTGAAAATGGTCATATTCGAAACATCTCAATTTTTGGATAGAACAAATGTTTGGCCTGTCGTTCACGTCTGATGTGTTACTAGTATGTATGCACCGGCTTCAGCCAGATAACTCTCTGCGTGTCGTCAGGTCATATTGACTCCTCAGAAAGGCTGAGTGACATTTGGTTTTTGACTGGGTACACGTTACAACCTGAATTTTCTCCGTAGAGCGACTAGGATTCGAGCCAGGCTCCTCTGCACACGAGACCACCACCACACCACTGAGCTATCTAGTCAGCCAGGTCAAGTCGAGCGGTAAAGAATCATCAAAACGCTTCAAAATTAGGTTTGTGCGCCAGATGAGTGAAATACCATGTATGGCAACTCCCGTGGCATTGTGGAAGCATCCTCGGTGTTCGCTGTGCATCACTGGGCTTGCATCCGTGGGGGACATGTCTGCTTCGGTGTTCGGCGCGTTTTCCCCACCAAACCGTAAAACCACATTCCTGACCATGCTAGTGAAATTATTTGCACCGCAAACATCCGTGCATGAAACCATTTCAGCCGCATAGCCAATTAGCATAGATAATAATAATTTACCGCCTTCCAAATAAAAAGCTTCCGCATTTCAGTGAGTCCAATATCATGTGCTGCTGAGGCTACATTATGGAGATAACTGAGGGTGACTTCGTCCAGTAACGCAGAAGAAATTTGTAGAAAGCTGGATGCTAAAAATACCAAACAATATGTAGTCGTAGCTCCAACCAATATAGGTAGACCACCAAAATCAAAAATCCGAATGCCAATCCAAATCGGGTAGGCAACCACAATCCGAACCAAAATTAATCACGCCAAACCCGCAATTCAGCGAATCGTTCGGGATATCACTGATTGCGAGGAAAGAGGGTGGGGCGTGGGAGCGCTGCTGTGGCAGCCTGGGGGCCATCACCGTAGCTTCCATGCGTGAGCCCGGCGTTCGACGAAGAGGCTGCTCACCACGCGACCCGCGTTCCGCCTCAGCAAGTCCGCGGTGCACGTACCATCCCGCCATGAGCTGTTCACAGAGCGCGCTTCAACCCTTCATTTCGTGGTTCTCAAATCGCGTGAATCAGAGCCGAGGTCCTTCTGGAAAGCTCTCGGCTGCTAACGCATTCAGCTCATCCCCAGCCGGCCCTCATGCCACAATCATACCTGTCTGCTCGGATCGGTTGCTTCCAGTTATCGGGAGCGATGAAGAGAGAACCGCTAATAGGCAGGGAGGTCGGGCCCATTCAGCAATCAGGTCACCCTCCATCCAGCGATTTCCGATGCCCTCTTGCCCATTCCCAGGTTCGTGAGCTGGGAGGTCCCGACCCGTGGTCCATCGCGCCGCGAGCTAGTGGCAGTTCGGCGCCCACGTACGCGTTCATATGCTCTGTTCCAGTGCGATTGAACGACTCTGTTCAAATCCGCAGACGGCGGGCGGGTGCGACCGAGCTTCCAGCGCGCGCCGGAAGGAGACAGGGCTGCTCCAACCCACCCGCCCGCCCGCCCGCCCCCACTCCATGCGAAGTCAACGAACAACCCATTAGCCAAGCCGGGTGCACGTCAGAAGGAAACGCTCTGCGGCAGCGGGCTCAGACGCACACGCGTACCGCTAAGCGTCTTAGTGCCGGGGCTATTTCCGCTCTAACAACAGAGCTGCAGTTATAATCTGATTCTGCCTCTGACCGTCTCCCGCGAGAGCCTTTCAATTACAGGAACAGTGTGCATATTCAGCCGGGCCGGCCGCGGGCTGAGGCGAGACTGAGCTCGCGCGCGATGGTGGGGCTGATGCGCCCGATACGGGCCTGATGAGCTACCGCGGCTATTGGCGGCAGAGAGAGAGACGGTCTCCGGGAGACGCGACTTGGTCGCCGGGGCGGCAGAGAGGGACGGTCTCCGGGAGACGTGGCTTGGTCGCCGCGGCGGCAGAGAGGGACGGTCTCCGGGAGACGGCTTGGTCGCCGCGGGCGGCAGAGAGACGGTCTCCGGGAGACGCGACTTGGTCGCCGCGGGCGGCAGAGAGGGACGGTCTCCGGGAGACGTGGCTTGGTCGCCGCGGGCGGCAGAGAGAGCCGGTCTCCGGGAGACGCACCTTGGTCGCCGCGGGCGGCGGAGGCAGAGAGGGACGGTCTCCGGGAGACGTGGCTTGGTCTCCGCGGGCGGCAGAGAGAGCCGGTCTCCGGGAGACGCACTTGGTCCGCGGGCGGCAGAGAGAGCCGGTCTCCGGGAGACGCACCTTGGTATCCGCGGGAGGCAGATAGCGCTGGTCTCTGAACGGTAAGACATGCTTATGCACGTCCGGTCAGGACAGTCTCTGGGCGGCAGCGATGGTTTTGCACACCGAGAGAAGCACGCTGTCCGTGCGATACCTGCACAGGGTGTTGTTGGCCGTCTCCGAGCACCAGACCCTCCTCAGTTTGTGGCCACCGTCACAGGAAGCGCTGCACGCGCCCCATTCGTCGGTGGTCCAGCTGAAAGTGACCACATCGCCGTGAGACGTGATAGAATGCACGGTGGGACGCTCGTAACTCAGAGACTGAAGTGATTTGAGCTAATTTTCCAGCTTTGAGCACACGTGCAAATGCTATTGCCGTTCTGAGAAAGATCGTTGCAGCGAGTGATACAATTTAAATCCTAACAACAAGATGACGGCATCAAAAGCCGACACAAACAACTGCAATGGGCGACCAGCAGTCAGTTTGTATTTCAGGTCAAAGCGCAATGTTATGAATACGGTACATTTTTGACTTCGGCCTCAAATTGCAATACAATGCAATGCAATATGTCGTCAAGTTCACTATAGATCGGAAAACATGTGCTCTTCAGGAGAGTCAGTCTTACCATTCATATTTCATGCAAAATGTATTTCAAACATTAAGCTTAACTGAAGCACCATTTGGCGACATAAGTGAACTTTGTAACATACTGAAACTTATTTGAATTAGAGACGAGGTCCCAAAGTGTACTGCGTAGCATTAATTAAGCCGCAAAGCATCAAGAAAGGTGTGATGTCCACGATGTCCTAGCATAAAAATATTAGTTTTTTATTCGCGCTAAGGTCACCGATTGTTGCCCTACGAAATTTCCCCTCCGGAAAAGGAACCTATCTTTTTGAGGTTTCAGAATTTCAGAACCATTTTATATTT